GCGGCGGGCGGCTGAGCAGGCGCGCAGCAGACCCGTCTGCGGAGGCGGAGCGCAAGCGGGCGCAGGAGAAGCTGTTTTCACTGGACTCTGAGCGGATCCTGAGCGGCGAGGACAGGCGGACGACGCTGATGATCAAGAACATCCCCAACAAGTACACCCAGAAGATGCTGCTGCAGGTGCGGGCCGCCTCGGGTTTTTGTGACGGCGCCAGCACAGATGGCCGCCCTTGTTTCAGCGGTGAACACCCATGCTCTCGGCCTGGGTTGCAGCTCCTCACCCAACACTCATCACACTGGCACGTGCGCACCCGTCTGTGGGCTCGCACCCTTGCGTGTGTCCCCCCCCCACACACAAAAACACACACACACACACACATGCGCGCGCACGCGCACACTCACGTACACACACACGTATGCACACCTTAATTGCTGTCGAGTGCCCTCACCCCCGCCCCCTCCCCGCCCTCCTCCTCCCAGACCATCGAGGAGTCCCTGCGCGGCACCTTTGACTTTTTCTACCTGCCCATAGACTTCAAGAACAAGTGCAACGTCGGCTACGCCTTCATCAACATGATCCAGCCCCGCTCCATCCTGCCCCTCGTCGAGCGCTTCGACAACCGCCGCTGGGAGAAGTTCAACAGTGAGAAGGTCTGCCAGATCAGCTACGCGCGCATCCAGGGCCGCGCGGCGCTGATCTCGCACTTTCAGAACTCGAGCCTGATGCACGAGGACAAGCGGTGCAGGCCGGTGCTCTTCGTGACGGACGGCCAGCACGCGGGGGAGCAGGAGCCCTTTCCCGTAGGGCCCAACGTGCGGCCGAGGCAGCACGTAGGCGGCGGGGGCGGCGGCGGCGGCGGCGGCGGCGCGCGCGGGGGTGGCGGGGGCGGCGGCGGCAGCGGGGGCGGCGGCAACCCGGCAGCGTGAAGACGTGCTACCTGGCGGCCAGCTGTTGGGTCTGAGCGCGCGTCTGGTCTGGTTTCAAACAAGTGACGTTGGTATGGTCTCAGACCAGTGACTGCACAACGTGCCCGCGGAACCTCGGACGCATGTCGCGGGCGTTGATCTCGCTGCGTTGCGCTTTGGGGGTCGGCCAGAGTGCCGCGGCGCCCCTGCGCGCATCGCCGGACGTGTTGTGGGGCCCGCTTCGGCCATAGGTTTGTCAGTTTACGAGGCCCTGAGATCAAGCAGCCGCTGCCTCACTTTTTGATCTGTACGCGGCCGGAGGCGCTGCTGCCGCGTCGCGCTCACGATTAGGAGCAGGTGTGAGTGCACGCGCGCATGCGGCATGAGCGAGGCACTTGTGCGGTTTGGTTTCGGTGCTGGTGGCGGCGCCTTGGACTGTACAACACCGCGCCACAGCACATAAACAAATGACAGGCGTGGGCAGGTGTTGTCGACACCCCGTCAGAGTCGTTGTCATTCTTGGTCTTCGTGGTGTTAGCGTTCGGTCGGTTCGAGGTCATGTTTCGGGGCGACGAGGCGGTGTTCGTTTTTCTTTGTCTCTGAGTTTGTGCCAACCCACTGAGCCGACACAGTTCGCGCGGTGGAAGCTCACACCTTGGATTGCGGCGCTAGCTCCTCGGACTGCAGCGCTAGCTTGCTCCCTGTTTTTTGGGTGCTGAGCGGCCATTGTGTGCCTGCGACCAAGACCGCCGCGCGTGCGGCAGCACTGCCGCGAGCCGCAGCCTTCGGCTGTGCAGCCAACTGGGGCCAGCCCCTGCTCCTGTGTCGCGACGGGTTTGAGCCGCGGCTGCAGTGCTTTGCTTTCTTTCCCCTGTGCCTCAATTTGGGCCTCCTCGACCGCCTTTTGGTCATATGATCTGCCAGGCGCAATCAGGTTAGGCAGTGCCCATTGAAAATCTGCATATATTCTCACAACACCCATGCGCCTCCCACACACGCGTTTTCCGTTTTTTGCCAACACTAGGGCTCTTCTGCCCCGGCCGCCGACTGGACCCGGGTCCCTGGGCACGCCCCGCGAGCCCGCTTTTTGCAACGCCGCCCGAAGCCCCACGCGACCCCGCACCGCAGCTCCCGAAAGACACATCAAAGCGTATTTAACCCCACCCCATGACGCCCCCCCACCCCCACCCGCAACGAAGGGGTGCATGGGGGCCTTCTGGCGACGGACACTGCTTGCGAAGGCACGCATCCGCTCTGCCCTTTTGCTGCCGCCGCGTTGGGTTGCGCCTGCGGCAGCCGACGCCCGCCCCGGGGCCGGCGGGGCCTGGGGCGGCTCGGACTGGGCCCCTTCGCCCTGGACAACCTGCCAGGCGCAAGGCTGGCTGGTGCACACACTGTGCTTGCCTGGGTCCAATCCGTACCTCCGCGTTTTTTCTCATGCGCGCATCACTGCACTTCGCCTTACTGCAAGGGCCGGGTGAAGCCACCACAGGCGGACTGCGGGGCCGTGGCTTGGTGCGCCCGTGGCCATGCCCAAGTTGAGCCTGCAAGGCCTTAGGCTGTGGGGCGGAGCGCCTGGCAAGGCCGGCGGGGCCCCAGCTCCGTCGGGCAAGCCGCTCAAATTCGCACGCGTGGGTGTTGGCAGGTGTGCAGGGACATTCCCTGGCACCGGCTGCAGCAGCCCCGTACCATTGATTGCAACAGCAGGCCGTGCACCCTGTCGCGCGATGTGACACTTTCAAGGTTTTCTGTAAGTCTCACTGCTGCAATCCGTCAAACGTGACAGGCAAGCTCGGGTATGATTATCTTGACTGCTGACCTGGACTACAGAGGGCTTCAGGCGTGGCTGGTACTGGGCAGAACCACCAGACTCTGCTGCGCACGACAACACCAGCACCTTCCTGTTGGCTGATCCGCTGTGTGTGTCGAGTGCCGCAATCAGATGCGTGTGTCACTTCACTATTTGCCTGGTTTTTCTGGCAGAAACCACGCACTTGACAGCGTATCAGCGTGCAATAGCATGCAAGCAAAGCTGGACGGACGGGCGTCAACTTGGCCGCGTTCCCGTGTTGCTCAGCTACCGGTATTGCAGGATTCAATTTTGAAATTGATCAACCGGTCTTTTTTTGTGCGGGAATGCGCTGTGCTTGACGGTTTCCCCGCTATCAGACGGTTTCGCCATAACTGTACGGGCGTGGCTTGGGTCGCCGGCGTCGGTCTCTCATCCTCAACGAGTTTATTATCTTATTTCAATATGAATCCAAGCTGAGGGCATGGTTCGTGCGGACGGAACGCGCTGTAGAGGCGTGCCCTGCCTGTGCGATAGTGCGACACGTTCCAGAGAGAACACAATAGGGCGTGCGACACGTTCATGATGGAAAAGTATGAGCTGCTGGAGTGTGTTGGGTAAGCTGAGTTTCATTTCTTTAGCATGGCACAGATTAAACCGGCTCTCACGGCGGGCCAGCCAACGCTGCATTTCTGTGAAATCCGCACAGCAGCTGTGCTCAGCGCAAGGATTGTGCCCATACAGCTGGAGCTGGCAACCTCAGAGCCTTTGCTGCACCAACTGAAACTTGGCGCTGCTGTGGCACATCACGCCCGCAGTCAGGGCTCATTTGGTGTCGTGTACAAGGCCAGGTGCCTGGCTGACGGCCGTGTGTGCTGCCTCAAGAAGATTGCGGTGGCGGCAGCACAGGTAGGCCACCCATTAACTTGGAAGGGGAGCATCTGGGAGGTGCTCGTTGACGCTTGATTACAGGTAAAGCATGCGTCGCTGTACCAGCCCAGAGCCTGACCACACCGGCATCACCGCACCGCTCCACAGGATGGCAACAACACGGCTCTGATGGAGGCCAAGGTGGTTGTGTGTGGGGTCTTGTGGGAAACCGTAACATTGGCAAGCAATATGAGCAAGTGTCATTCGCGTCACAAGGCAGCCTGGCGCCCTGGGCTCTTTGCTTTGGTCACTTTTTTTCCAGCTTGACTAGTGTGATAACTCTTGCTCTGCATTTTGCCTGACTCACCACTCGCCACTGCAGCTGCTCTCCTCCCTGGACCATCCAAACATCATCCATTACAAGGTGTGTAATGGATTGAAATGCTTGAAGCGTGCCAGCAATTGCCGCCAAAGTGGATGCGCTGCTGCATTTTATCACAGCAATGCACAGTCAAGATGGCAAGGCAACCGCCCGAGCTGAACTCACAACAGGAGAGCTTCATGGACCCAGCTGATGGCACTCTGTGCATCGTTACATCATTCTGCGCCGGTGGCGACCTCGCCGCCGAAATCCGGCGGCGTGCTGCTAATGCAGTGCGTGGGCGCCACCAGGGGCACTTAGACGGCAGCAGCCACAACGCCGCTTCTGGTGGGGATGGTGCAGCGGCCCATGGTGGTGGCAGCGCAGCGCCGCCGCCCACATATTTTCAAGAGAGTGAGGTCATGGACCTTTTCTTGCAGGTGAGCAAGTGGTTTTATTGTCATGATTGTCGTTGACCGGCACTTTCAGGGCCTAATTCAAAAGAATCACAGTGCCTGACACCTGTTGCGTGTAGACATCTCGAGTCGTGGGAACAAGTGCATGCTTGGTGGATGCGCGCATGCGTTTTCGAGGGAAACAACCATGCAGGGTTGCCCTGCGCTTGTCGCATGTGAGCCGGCGCCCATTGCCTATCGCCTCCAGGTGGCAGGAGCACTGCAGTACATCCACAGCCGCCGCATCCTCCACCGGGACCTCAAGACTCAAAACATCCTGCTGGCTGAGGAGGGCGCCGTCATGCTGGCGGACTTTGGCATCAGCAAGGTCTGCGGCATGATGTTCCCCCTCAAACCTAAACCTAATCAACCAACAACGTACTTGACTTTTACGGCTGGCACGCGTTCTTTCACGTGCCCCTTAGGATGCGCAGTCGTTACCCTGCAGCCCAGCTACCCAGCTGGCCTGCTGCCACTGACACCTCCCTCCCCATCCCTGCATGCTTCTTTTCCCTGCACACCACCCACGTGCAGGTGCTGCAGCAGGCGGAAAGCTACGCCACAACCATGGTGGGCACGCCCCTGGTGATGGCGCCAGAGGTGTGCACCAGCCGCCCCTACACCTTCAAGAGCGACATCTGGTCCCTGGGCTGCGTGCTGTATGAGATGGCAACGCTCAAGAGCGCCTTCTCAGCGGACTGCTTTCTTTCGCTGGTGAGGCGCCCTGTCGCGCCGCAGGAGTAATCCGCCTGATCGCGCCCGGCCACCACTACACCCGCTGGCAACGCGCGCCATCAAATACGTGCCTGCGGGATTTCTACCATTGCAGCTATGCTACCCTCCCACCGCTTGGCAACGCAATCGACGATGCTTACATCACAAGCCGCTCAACCAGGGAGTAGGAAGGCTGATCAAACTTGCACAGCTGCACGCACAGCCTGGATCATGCACAATCATGCACAATCAACAAGGAAATTGAAAACCTTGAAAGCATCAAAAATGATAACTCGTGGCCCACAAAGGTGTACAAGATTGTGCGTGGGGAGCTGCCGCACCTTCCTCAGGGCCGCTTCAGCAGGGGCCTGGGTGAGCTCATCACGAGGCTCCTGACGCGGGACCCCAAGCATCGGCCGTCCCTGCAAGATGTGAGACGGGTTGGTCAAGGGTGGGGATTGCAAGTTGACATTTTGGTTTTGAGTTGAAAAAATACTGGCACAAATTGGGTTTTCTTGCGGGACACGCGCCTGTGCTTGTGCAGCACGACTACTGCGTACTTCCCAATCACTCGGCTGCGCCGTGTAGGCGGCACTGTTGGCACCACACTGAGCGCGCATGTCACGCCCTGTCGGGCGTCTGCCAGCTGGCACCTGCAGTTGTCAGGGCATACACAGCATAATTGATTATTTGCGATGGCCGCGGCGCAACCCATTTCCTAAGGTCTTCAAGATGCCTTATGTGCAGCAGCACGTGCAGCGCTTTAACGCGCAGCAGCGGCGGCGTGTGTTGCAACAGCAGCTCCCCGCGCAGTCACTGACACACAGCAGCAGCATCAGCAGTAGCGAGCCTTTGGCCGACAGCCACAGCAGCAGGCATGAGAGCCACTGGGACAGCAGCAGCGGCAACGCTGGTAGTCTCCCAGACCATTGGGCACAGCAGCTGAGGCATATCAATGCGCTCACAGGCACTGAGCAGGGATTGTGTCCGTTCCTCGGCGGACGGGGCCAGGAAGCTGTGCCTACTCCCTGCGGCGTCAGCAGCGACTGCTCAGCAGCAGCCGACGGGCCTTGGCGGGCGCGTGAGGCGCCCGTGTCGTGCGAGCCGCGACTTGGTGTGCAAAGCGGCTGGTCTGGCGGCCTGGAGGCGTCGTCAAGTAGGGTGGAGCCAGGAGAGGCTCTGAACACTTTGCCTGCGCCGATAAGAAGCAACAGGCCCACCAGCAGCTGCAGCGGGGGCAGTCCAGAGCCACGGGTGGCGAGGCAGGGTGCATGCGCACGCGGGGGTGGCAGTGGCCTCGTGTGCATGGATACGAGAATGTCTGCGGCGTCTGCCGGTCCACCGCTGCAGCCGCTTGCGTTGGCCCTCTGTGCAGCTGGGCAAGGCGCCTGTGCCGAGCTGGCGCAGGCGGGGCCGTTGAAGCGAATGCTGGAACTGAAGCGGCGGAATGGGCACCAGCACCAGCACCAGCACTGGTGGCAGCAGCAGCAGCAGCAGCAGCAGCAGCAGCAGCAGCAGCAGCAGCAGCAGCAGCAGCAGCAGCAGCAGCAGCAGCAGCAGCAGCAGCAGCAGCAGCAGCAGCAGCAGCAGCAGCCAGGCGGCACGGCGCTCAACGGCAGCAAGCTCCATAGTGGTGCAGTAGACCACACAGCCGCGGCGCTGAGCCACACCAAGGTCAAGGAATCCACTGCTGTAGAGCTGCAGCACCCCGGCCCCTTGCGTCGAGCCCTGGCGCGCCTGGCTGGGGCCGGGCGCCCTGCGCTGCCGCCCAGCGCGCCGCCATCGCCGTCGCCACAGCCTGCTGGGGCCCCTGCGCAGCCCCCGCCACTTCCGCCGGCACTTATCGGGTTCAGGTTTGGCCTCAGCACTGAGGAGCGCGGCTCCCTACAGCCCAGCCCCGGCCACGGCGGTAATTTGGAGGTCGCAACAGGCGACGCACCCTCCGCGCCGCTGTCGCCCTTTGGCGCCGGGGTGGTGGATGCAGGCCGTGGTTTCGCCTGGAGCTGCCGGGACAGGCTCCTGTTTGGCCTGAGGACCGACAGCCAACCCGACTGTGTTTTCGAAATCGCGGCAGATGGCAGCAACAGCAACATAGACGAGGACGATGCGGCAAGCTGCACTGTTGCCGTCGGGCCGCGGCAGGCGGGGAATGCCCGCAAGCAGCAAACACAGCAACAGCTGCCGCTGTGTGAGGGCGGCTGCAGCGGCGTCTGGCACCCTCAGCCAAGCCATGCGCACTCGGCTGGCAGCTTCCTGCAATGTGTGGGAGACAGTTGCGGCAGCTTCTCGTTGGCTGCCGCCAACTCCTGCATTGGAACATACGATGCAAGAGGGTGAGACGCCTGCCCGGCGACGCTGTCACTGGACCCGGACAGGTGACAGGGTGCGTTCCATTGATCCAGTTCATTGGATTGGTTGCACAGTTTGCCCTCTATTTGTCCAGACTGTGGTGAATCAGCTGTTAAAGAATGGCCTTGTAGTACGCAGCCTGCTGGTCGGAGTGCATGTGCCCATCCAGCATGCCAGAATGCAGTGATGGTGTTGTACACAAATCAACTCACATTTGTAGAATTTGAGCATTTCGTTGTCTGATGCTGCTTAGCTTGTCACAGTCAAGGGCGTTCCTCCCATCCCAGCGCTGGAGAGCGAAATCTGCCCCTGTGTGTTGCCTTGCTGGCAGTCGCCCCTACCGCTGCTGGCAATCCCTGCTCAATTCGTTGCGTACTGCATGGTTCAACCTTCATAAATGTCCTCACAACTTTGTAATCGTTCTCAGCTGCACAAAACGCTGTGCTCCACAGTGTTAGGATCTTCCTGTCATTGACTGGCAATGGATTGGGCAGCAAGGGGATCACTGGTGACCTGCATGCCGCTCCTGTGAGTTGTACTGGGACTGGACAAGATCCTATGCGGCTTGAGAGCAATAGAGCATGTGGGACATAGAACCATACGTCTCTGAGGTGACAGGCGGCGACCAGGTGGCGGTTTCATCCTGGTTGCTCTCGTCGGCGGCCGCCCTCCAATTGCACGCATTTGGAACAGCGGGCACCCAATATACGCCTTGTATTGGTCTTGCATGTCGATGCAGCGAACGCATGAATAAGAAACAGCCAGATCAACAGATCACTGGCCTGCCGTGTAAAAGTGTGCGAGCCCAAGCGCGAGGCAGTGCCTGTGAGACATCGCCATGACAGAAGAAAAAATCTCCGCGCTTGCAAGGCGCCTGGAGGCACTGCACACGCGCATCGGCGCCGCCGAGCGCGCTGCCGCTGTCGCTGTGCGACTTGCCGCCCTGGAGGAACGCATCACAGCGGCAGAGCAGGTGTGCAGCCTATGCTTACAAAGACGGCTTATTGGCGGCGTTTATGAATGAGAATATCCTTTGAAAGTGCCTGCCTCGACGCCCTTCTTGATTCAGTTTTGCTGCACGCCCACACACCAGGGTACAACGCTCAAGGCCTCTGCGGCCGCGCCCGCTGCGCCTGCCGCACCTGCACCTTCGGCGGCGGCGCCCGCGCCCCAAGCCGGCCTCGATCCCGAGGCTCGCAGCCGCGCGGCGCTGGACGCGGCCCTGGCTGGCGACGACAGCCCCGTGCAGCACCGGCTGGCGCGGGAGCTGTTTGAACGGCGCGTACCGGATTTCAGGCGAGCCGGCGTTTCGCTTTTCGCTCCGCAACGCAACGCTGCGGCCACTCGCTGCTTCTGTTGATGAGGGCGCTGCGGCCGCGCTGGAGCCCCCAAATTTTTTCAGCAACAATCAAATTGTGCGTTGGCATCCGCGTGGAGGTGTGCATGAAGGCGGCAACGGCTGGTGGCCGCCACCTCATGGCGTTGCCCGCCCGCGCGGTTTCTGTTTCAAAACAGACCAGATCATTGCCGCGCTGCCCATGTCGCCACGCCCACCCCAGCACGCATCCCCGTGTCTGCCGCCCCCACCTCTGGACCCCGGGCATGTCGATGCGTGCAGGTTTGTGCGCGTGCCGAGCGATTACTACGAGCGCCCCCTGGCTTGGCGGCGGGAGGTCCTTGAAGCCCACACAGTCTACCACCTGTGCAAGGTGCGCTTTGGGATAGCGCGTCGCCGGCCGCCTGCCCTGAGCTCCCTGAGCTCCGCACCGCCCGACGCCGGGGCACGCCCGTGCGCCGGGGGATGCCCATGCGCCGGGGGATGCCCGTGCGCCGGGGCACGCCTAGCGCCGGGGGATGCCCGTGCGCCGGGGCATGCCCATGCGCCGGGGCATGCCCATGCGTGCAGCATGTTGGTCTGCGCAATGGGCCAGCCACCCGTAGGTCGTGCAGCCGTGTCCAGTTGCGTCCGGCCTTGCCGCTGGCCGCGCCCCGGGAAGAGCGCGCTTCCTTGGCCCCGCAAGGCCGTTTTTCATGCCCGGCTCAAAAGCGTGGGTCAAGCTCATCGTTTCCATGGCCAGCCTTGACGTTTGATCCATGATGACTGCATTCTCAGGCGTCGGCACCCCACCCCCTTTGCCTGCAGAGCATCGTGATGGAGAACACGCGAGCCCACCCCTCTGTCAAGGGCTGGGAGGACCCCAACAACAGCAAATACTACGTGGTCATAGTCCAGGTGGGGGCGCGGACTGTCGACTGGTCAGAAAGGCTGGCCTCTGGACTGGGATGAGACCAACATGGGCTTAGACAGTCAAATATGCCTGAGTGTGTGGTGCATGTGCAAGTCTGCACGCGGCCGCTGTGCAGCCGACACACCTTGCGCTACCCCAGAGGTCCTTTGGGCAGCTAGGACCCGTCGCCTGCGCTTGCAGGCCCACACCACCCCCCAGCATCACACCCAGCGAAACTCCTGCTTTGCAAGAAATCGGTCGGCCCCATCACATGTTTGCGACCTGCCTCCGCAGTACAAGGCGCGCTTCAACAACGAGAAGCTCTGCGCCCACCTCCACAAGCTCAACGGCGGGAAGGTGCGGCCAGCTGGCGGCAGCTGCATACGTGGCATATGTGTTGGGTCGTTGCTTTGGGCTACCACACTGTCTGCAGTCAGCAGCACGCACCAGCCATCTTCGATTTCGTGCAGGTGGGGCCTCCCTTGTATCCCCCTCGGCGCACCCACGACAGCCGCCGGACACCGCCCGCGCGTGGCCCTGCCAACCCAGCCCTCCCACGGCCAAAAGCCTGCTGGCCGTGACGGCGCGCGCGCGTCCCCCGATTGCCTGGCCGTTCCCAGGTCGGCAAGAAATGGTTCAACATGCGGCTGGCACCCGAGGAGGTGTCAGACTCCCTCAGCGGGTTCGGCCACAACGGCGTCAGCCCCGTGGGCCTGGCCACCCCCCTGCCCATCATCATCAGCCACCGCATCACGCAGCTGGTCCCAGATTTCTTCTTCATGGGTGAGAATGACGTCTTGTCGCACTGCATCCTATCGTGCCATCCAAGCATGTCATATTTGCAGCTAATCACACGTTGGTGGTCCAGGGGTGCCTTATGACCTCGACAGTCAACCTCCGTGTTTGGCACCAACATGCCTCTGCCCTTGGTCGTGCCGTAGCTACCCTCACTTTGCACGTGGCTCGGCACCACTTCCTGCACTATCCTTGCTTGACACCTGCAACATACACACACAACCGTGCAAAGAACGGCTGGGTCTGAATCCCCCACCACAACCTAAACTCGCCCACCACAGGTGGCGGTGAAGTGGACCTGAAGCTGGGGCTGTCGGCTGCAGATTTTGTCAAGGCCTATGGCCAGCAGCCCGTGATGGTCGTGGACTGCACTTATGATGACGATGGGGGTGACGAGGGCGGCGCTGACGAGGATGAGCAGAACGGCAGCTAGTGGCTGCAGCCCAGGCCCTGGGCCAGCCACACTGGCCTTGATTGATTGCTCATTTGTGGCCGGCACACGCTGTTGTGCAGCGCGTTTGAGGGTACATTGTGTGCACATGTTAATTCTATTCCTTTGGCAGTTTGAAATTTCTGTTTGCAAAGCTTGTGATCATGCAGGATGGCAGCGCTGTCTCCTCACATGCGAACACGTGGGTGTCACCAGCGGCAGCCAGCCTGCCGCGTGCTGCACCGGCCAACGTGGCGGCCGCGAAGTGTTTTCTGCGGCGCAACAGGCCTGTGGTCACCGGGAACGCCGGTGCATCCTTGCACGCACATAGCCTGTGGCTTGCGCACAGGCTGGTGAGTCCATACATGAAACATGGCCGCACCTGCAGTACACAACGTAATCCATCTGCCCTGTGTTGCGCCTGGTCAGATTAAGAGCAGTCGACACAGTCAACCAAACTTCAGGCAGGCCCCTTACTGTGTAAAATTGGCTGCTTCTTGGCCCCCATCGATAACAGTTCAGTGCTGTGCACCAAGACTCTGCCAAGCCTTTTGCTTGTACATGCAAAAGAGTGTTGAAAGTTTAAGACAAGATTTGCATAACAGCAAAAGGGGTGCTGCCTGGCCTGGCAACACACAGACTGTGCACGCAGGGGCGGCCACGGACGTTGGCTGCGCTGCCTTGTGTGCGGCGTGGGTGCGCTGCCAGGGCTGCCCCTGGCAGAGTGCATCCCAAAAAGGCATGACCATGCGGCTTGCGCGAGCTCACAGCTTTGGGCCGGCTTCATCACGCTCATTTGGCTCATGGGCAGGGGCAATGCGTCAGAGGGCAAACCGCAATGACTGTGGACGAGCGACCAGGAGTTACAACAGGCAACCACCAGCAGCCTGCCTCGCCTGGATTTTCAATCACTCGCACTCCCGGTCGCTACCATCCTCCCCCATCCCCCCAGTCGGCGACCTCTGGCGGCTGCTGGTTCAGGATCGGCATGGCCATCGCGCTGCCCGCCACCTGCGCGCCCCCGCCGGCCTGCGGGGCGACGGGCCCGCTGCCGACCTGCTGGACTCCTGCTGCTGTGACGGCGTACTCGAACGCGACGTTGGGGCTCAGCGGCGACTTGGCAATCTGCAGGAGAGCGATTTTCAAGCGCCACCCGGCGCGGTCGATCACGACAACAAACGGGCGCCGGCACCCCCAACGCAACAGGCTACTGTAGCTGCAACCAAGTTTCCTCCGACGGCGCCTGCCCTCCTGTGCTCGAGCACCAACACCGTTGCTGACCCGCTTGGACCTGGCGCCAGGTCCCAGGCTTGCGGGAAAGTACGCAGCCCCCTTGCCCTTGCAGTCGCACTCACCTTGATAAACCGCTGGTTGCCCTGCCGCTCCAGCACCAGCCGCACGTTGACGCTGTGCGCCCACTTGGTGCCGAGCGCCGCCGCCAGGTGGCCCTCGTCGCCGCCGCCGCCGGCACTCGCCGCCGCGGTGGGCGGCGCGCCCGCGCCCTGGAAGGCATGGACTGCCGGGCCCGTCGGCCTCGAGGTCACCTGAGCCGGCCGGTCGACATGGTGCTTAGATTTTTAGACCATATGCCCCTGGCACGGCACCGCCCCAGCCCAGGCAGACAAAGCGTGAGAGACACCCCACGCCAAGAGAATCACGCGGCATGCTGTCGCCCAGCGATGCCGCAGCGACGTCGTGCGCCCCACCGGAGCACAGCTCTCCATCTTCTTCAATCCTTCGTCACCTGGTTTGTGACGACGATGGGGATGCGGTGGCGCTCCGCCAGAGCCTTCAGAGCCACAGCCTGGCGCCCCACCGTCTCGCCCCGCTCCACCAGCTGCCAGCGCGGACGGGCGGGGGGGGGGGCAGCCGTGGATTCGCAGCGCAGATGCTCACGTCTAGGCCTCGGGGAACCATCCACCGCTGCGACCACAACCCCAACACGCGATCTGACAGTCACTCCATCCACATCAGAGCTGCCCTCCTCCCTCACTGCACAGCCTGACCCCGCCTGGCTGCAGGGAGGTCTCAGCCGAGCCCTCGCCTACCCCCACCCCCCC